ATGATGTTAATTCAAGTTACAAAACAGTTACACATCTGTGAGTCCAGCAACACTTCAGCCTCAAACTCAAAAGCTTAAATATTCATTTACACTTCAAATTAACTGAAGACAAATCAGAGATACAAATGACAAATTACAGAAAAAAAAAATTACACAACTATGTACTCACAAATACAAAATCTGGTTAAAGCAATGAGAAAGAGAAAAGGCATCTCTTGCCTATATGCTGTTGGGAAGAAGTAAGAAAGTGGAGTTCCTAGTTAATTATAAAATGTTCACTACCTGCCTTGCAGGAACACAGTAAACACAATTAGTTCTGAGCATGATATGTGAGATAAAAAAGCAGAACTGACAATAATATAAAACGGAGCCTTTCTTTGCCTTCTTTCAGTGACAGCACCAAGCATCCTGATGTCAGCTCTACACAGAGAAATCGTGTCAGCTGCATTCTCTGATGACCACTATTTCCCCAACCGAGAGACATTCCAATTTCTTCCTGTACTAAACTTTAGCCTCCCAAAGCTACAGCTGCCAAATTACAGGCTCCCTTCCACATTATGAATCTGTTCCCTTAGGAAAGATGGTATTTTCTTATTTCACTTTTGACCTTTTCCTGTTACTGGTAAGAGAGGATGATAATTGACCCTATTGTGGAAGAAGAGAGGTTGGTAGGAAATAGAAGGGTTGTGGAATACATAAAAATTACTTCTCTGTACCCCCACCGCAACCCCCCCCCCCCCCCCCCCCCCCCCCCCCCCCCCCCCCCCCCCCCCCGATTTTCTTTTAAGGGGAGGAAAAAAAAACAAAAAAAACACCTATTTTAATCTAAAGCCACTGAACACAAAGCAAATAAAAATGTTCTTTTTCCTTTAACTAAAACCTGTAGCTCTTATCTACTCTGTTACTCTATACTAGCAATTGCAATGGAATAAGAAAAGTTAGCGTGGCTATAAATTACCCACTGTTTGGAAATACTTTTCTCTACATATGAATCAGTCCGTGCTCAGTGTTCTCTTTTCTAGCAGGGTGTCCTTGCTAACAGAGAGTTTATTTGTATGGAAAGTCAGATGTCAATTATTATGTGATTGAAAGAAAAAGGTTCTTGAATTTCTGTCTGACGTAGATTTACTATTAGAACCTATAACTCTACCCGATCTCCAAGCAAAGGGCAAGTAGATAAAAGAAGGAAAGTAACTGCTTCTGTTGTAGAGTTCATGCATAATTTACTTCAAACTTATAGTTTAAACATCAGTGTTGTCTTGTTGTTTTGTTTTTTTTTTTTCCCCAACTTTGTGATGGGTCCTGTTCCGAACTCCCTGCATCTCACCAATTCTTCCACTACTGCAAGTATTTTCTGTGTTCCTGTCAACCAAATACACCATGTGTACGTGCCAGGCAATGTTAATTGATTTGAATTGAGCTATTCCTTATTCATCCCAGTGTAAGCAAGAAAGAAAACATGCTCTGTAGGGTGCATTTCTCATGCATTCCAGCTCACTGCACAGTGGAAAATGAATATTTCTTGACTGTTAACTATAATTTAAGACTTGAAATTGTGACTTTTCAAGTCCTAAGTGTGAAAAGGCTTTCATTTTAAGGGTACTCATGTGCATAAGCTTTGGCATAAAATATTTTGTTTTGTAAGCAGAAGTTAAAATTACCCCAGTTTGAAGCAAAAGCCATTACAGATTAAATTAATGTTTAATTTCAGCATTTCACTGAAGTAGCAGGCTGAAAGAATATTAGTAGGAGTTGTTCACGTATTTACCACTATACTGAAGGCACTGTGGCCATTTTTAAATTGCTCTGAAGGAGCAGACTAGACTGTGATGTGCTTCCCACCAAATTCTACCACCATCCATAGGATCAGTGGGACGTCCTGCAGCCAATCCAAGGATGCATCCAGTGGCCTGTGGTATGGCTATGGCATTGACCTTCCAGCTACACTCAAGCAGAGAGTTTGATTTTCATGTACAATAGCACACTTAAGTCTCTGCTAAGATAATGCCATAAGAGCATTTCTTTGCTTAAAAAGATCCAAATTGCAGGGTTCTTAGCCGGATCAATCTGAACAAGCTCAACTCTTACTTAGATTGCAGCTGCTACTTATTTCTCACCTATGCAAACTATACCAATTGAGAATAAGACTTTTTCAAGGGCTTATATTAGTGATGGAATAGTCCAGCTTACAACGAGAGAGCTCCAACATTTTACTTACTTATTTATTTCCTCTTTTTCATCATAGTTTGATTGTTATAAGCCAAAAGTAAATGACAATTTATTGCTCTCAACTGAATTTTAACCCACAAGTTAGGCTTTGGACACAAAAGGCTGCTGAAATGAACTTTAAATTAAAAAATTCCTCTATTTCAGAAAGTCAGTTTTGGAAATAGGGAGGAATGTTAAACTTGCTTTCTTTATTACTAGCTTAGAATATTAATTTTCACCATATATTAAAAGGCAATATTTTCTTTGTTCCAGAGAGGCTATAAACCAGCATTATATAGTGACAATCAATCTGAACTTTAGGAACAGAATTCTGCTGTTTCAGCTCTTTTCCAGCTATGCCATTAGCTGAAAACAACTCCCTGAGGCTCATTCACACATTAAAGGTTTTTTTTTTTTAGTGCTTAAAACAAATATTTTCAAAAAGTAGATGCAAAGGTAATCAACAAACACGATTTTTTTTTCACTTTATACTTAACAAAAATATTCTTTCTAGAGTATTCAGCAAATAGAAACAATCTACACAGCAGAGTCCCCCATGAGATACAGGCATATTATACTTATAAGAATCGTGTATTTATGTATTTATATGTGTGTGTGTGTGTGTGTGTATTTTTTGTTTCACCTGGGGCACATACAAGCTTGCTGTCCACGAGCTAAAAATCAGCTGGTTCCAGGAAATTGGCACATCTGACTTCTCTGAGCACTCAGATAAGTTGGAACTCTTAAATGCATTGGATTACTCATTTTAGGAAAACAGAGAATCACAATAAGCTTATACAAATAATCTTACTTCATTTCATGTATTGCACACAGAAATATCAAGTTGTTAAGTTCCATGTATTAAGAAACCAAAAGAACTCAGCTCTAAAGAATAAAATTTTGGCTGTATTCACCTGAGCCTGAAATAAACGCAAATTTATTTTGATAACAAACCAGCATGGCACTGACCCCACATTAGAAAACATGGAAGAGAAAGTATAAATTAGGATAGTCAAATTCCCTTGGTCTGCCTGGAGATCAGGCAACCTCTGACCAGTTTCTAATTCATTCAGCAGAGACAGAGGCTGCAAAACACTGTAACACCAGCTTCTGCAGTATATAATTTCTGTTTGAGTTTTATGCAGAACATTTATTAATATATGCATTCTTCATGCAGAGATTACAAAATATATGATTTACTTCTGGTGACACTTCCAGCTCAAGTGTAAAATTCTATTTAACACCATTTTTGTGTATTTATCAGAAGAAGAAGGGAAGCTACTTCGTTTTCAAGTTACTCGAATCTTTCTTCCCTTGCATTTAGTGCAAGGCACCTTAAAACAGTTAACTTGCTGTAGATTTGGATACTAGTTTATCTTCTGGAAACATATTGTCATGCTCAAAGATCAGCATTTTACAGAGCTCAATGGCCCAAATTATGTCTTATAAGACTGAGGCAACTAATTGGCTTTTTTCCACACCTTTTGGATGGAAAATGGCCTGTGATTATTAGTAAAGCATTTGTTCTCACTCCAGAAGTTTCTTTACTCTTTCCCTTGCTCAGATTACACATACACAGAAGTTGCATAGATACATGTGTTGCATGTGAAAGTATGATTCAATATCTTTTACACTGCCTGCAAGCAGTAATTGTCATTTACCTTGCAGAGTATGTTTGTCTGCGAATTGAAGAGGATGGATGACATGCTGAAAGTCTTGATCTTCTTGTCACGTGCCCATGTGCAGAACTATGTCTTGTACTTTAAAATGTGTAGGTTGGAAAAAAGATTAAATAAAAGAACATATAGGGAAGAAATTCCTTCCATTAGCAGCTGGAAATTGATTAGGTTTCATAAAACAGAGCCTCTTTCTTCCTTATCTTTATTCAGCTTAATATCCATTTAAAGATGCTTCATCTCATTATTGACAGGAAAAAAAAGAAAAAAGAAAAAAGAAAAAAAAAGTCCTTCTTGCCTTGTTTGGTTTTTTTTTGTTTGTTTGTTTGTTTGGGTTTTTTTTGAAGGAGGGAATAGAACAATTTTCCTATTCTTTCATTATCATTTCTCCCTCAAGTATATGAGTAGGAGGAAGGATTACAGGGAAATGATCTGGAAAGCAAGACATGCTCACTTAGCCTGTACGAAGGCTTAGCCCATAAAGACCACGGACATCTAATATGATTCCTGTTAGGCACATCAACTAGCATTACAGCTCTCAAAAAAGTTCCATAGATCTGGAAGAGGTTCTGAAATAGCTTTCCCTAGTCTTCCTGATCCTACTGAACTTGGCTTAGTGAATGCAGTTGCTGATGTTCACTCTTGTTCCCACTTAGTTTAAATCTTTGGCCAATGAAGGCAGCAACTCTGGCCTATTCCACCGCTACTTCACTGAGTTAGCTGATCTTGAATATTAAAAGCCACGATCACAAAGGAAAGAAGAGAATTCATCCACTACATAAGACTGCCAGAACTCAGCAGATGCAAGAAAATATCTATTTTACTGGGGAACATGTAGCACGTTTCACTTAGAACTTTGAAGGCAAATCAGAATTTCTTCTCATTTTATCCCATCAAGTCAGAACTAGTTTTTGTCAAGCTAGGGCAAAAGCATAATCAGGCCAGTATGTGTCAACTTATGTAAAGAAAGAGTGTGTATTAATCAAACACAATGGGAAGCTGGCCTGCAAGGTTTCTTCTTATTGGAAGCATGCCCCTGCAGAGTTGTCTATGGATGTGAAATCCCTATGAATAAATCTGAAATTATCATAACTGACATTTCTAATGACTGGAGATCTAGCTACTAAACATCTAAATTTTTTATTATATATCCAAGGTTTAATTTTTAAACAGAGATATGATTCGTGCACTTACATTTTGCATGCAAATTTAGGCCTGAATCCAAAGCCTGAAGTCAGCATAAAATTAACAGAAAAATGCCACTTTCTGCCAGTGTAATTTTGAACAGAGCATGACTCTGTCTCTTTTAAGTATTTCCAAACAGCCAACAACAGCTATCTAAGGCAATTACAGACACAACCTGTACATACTCATAAACATAGGAGCAAATGCAAACAGAAACCCAAATTTAAACCAGGACATGGAGTCATAAGTTAAAACCAAGAATGCAGCAGATTCTACTGAAATTTAAAATAAAATAATTTATCTGGAAACTTTGGAAATAGTACTATGTTTCTCTTTGCAACAGCTAAATCACAGTAAGAAATTAGGTCCTATTTCTTAAATTTATTGCATGACAGAATGGTTGTATCCACACAAAACAGGTCAAGGCATTAAAAGTTGTTAAAGTCACTCCAGCACTACCATAGCAAGCATAGATTTTAGACTTTGATAAGGATTAGCATTAAAAAACCTGTTAATAAGGACTTTGTTGGAGAGTGAAAGAAAGGCATGGCATTATACACACCTAGACTGAAGCTGGCCTTGTTTTTAACAGTGTACTTTACCCCTTTCCCATGTTCCTGCTGTCTGTCCCCACAGCTGCCTCTTTTCAACAATGTCTGATTTGGCATTTCCTATCCTCTATGATTGTTAAGAGGGAGCCAAAGAACCACAAATAATACAGAGGGATGTAGAAGAGCAGAAAAAGCAGGTAGGATAGCAAAGGTTTTCCCCAGCACATAACCTACTGATCCTTTTAACTAGAAAAACAGAGCAAACTGGTAGAAGTACTATCCTGTGTTCTCGTCACAGTGTAGCATATTTCTTGCTATAAGTACCTAAATTAAGAATTTGCTTTTTTTTGCAGATACTTAAGATAAAAAAAGACTGTAGAAAACAGTTCCAAATGATTTAAGCACCACACAAAAATTGGGATGTTTGAGGTAGAACTGATTATTACTGCTGGAATTTTCCAGTACCCAGGAAAGAAAGATGCAGCTGATTACTCAAGATTACTAATGTCAGTAATCTCTTGGGAAGAGATGTTCAGTGGAAAAGATAGAAAAACACCACCTAACTAATGCAAAAAATTCAGCAGAAATCCACACCCAAAGTTCCAGTGTTTTCACCCAGTTTTGCTGCTGGTTTTCATCTATTACTCTAAACTTGATGAGACCTACTCCTTTGTAATGTAATAAGGGAGGAGGATTATCTTGTAGGACCTAAGCTCTCTTCCAGAAGAACTACACCACAAAACTACCACACTTGAACTGGGCAGTTGGGAAATATTTCTCTTCTTTCCAAAAATGAAGAATAGTAAGGAATTTGTGAGCATTTTGGATTTTCCTAAAAAAACCAAAAAAAATAAGAAGAAAATAAACATTTTGATGTTTTAATTCACCTAGTACTTCCTTGCTAATATGCACTTAGATTTAGCTGTGGTTTTATTTGGTTTTAGCATTTCTCTTAAAATAAAGTAGTTCTTTTACAGCAAAATAATTACTGTAACCTAAAGCTCATTCTACAAGGATCATTTCATAATTATCAGGATGCTTTAATAGCCAATATTCTTTTATTCTATATAATACTTGTACAGAAGGAAAAAAAATACATATGCATCTTAATTTAAATTCTCTTTTTAGTTATATTTATCATAAGGATTGTTATTGGTTCCTTTCCAGCAAAACAACATGCAATATTTAAGGGTTAGGGAAAATGCTGACATATTAGTAGTTCCACTCTTAATTATTCTTTTTCAGGAGTTCATTTTCATTGTTTTCCATATTACTAACTATAATAAGCTCAGATCACCTTATTGTTTTCCCATAGTGACTTTCAAGTTGTCCTAAGATTCTATTAAATGAAGTTATCATTAGTTTCTTTAAATTTTTCTCAGCTGCTTCCTCCTTTTCAGCAAGACCTGATAAGTAACTGCTGCTTTAATCTACAAAGTATTCCAAATAATATGTTTAGCGTCCATTGTACAGAAAATGTCGAATTTATAATTTTACACATACAATCTGTAAACATACTTCACACAATTACTTATGTCAAAAATCAGTCACCAAGTCACAATTTTCTAGTCGTTGCTTTCTAAGCCTCTATCTTTAGCAGTTAAAGTGATCTTTCAATCAGAAGTACAGGATTTATAAACTTATACATTTATACTTTATACACACTCTGCCATTTAGGAGAGGAAAAATGGAAGTTAGCCAGAACTGTTGTATATCTGTATCTAGACTAGTTAAAAAAAGAAATTGAAAACTTAAAAGAAACTTGAGTTTAATCTTACTTTCTGCTTACTTCTTAGCTGGGCTTAATTAGGGTATGAGTGACACTTACTATTGCTTAATCAGAGTTGATATTAAACTTCAATTTGATTGACAAAGTAAAACGCTCAAAACGCAAAATTGAATCAAAGGGCCGTACTTGGACTTCATCTGTCCCCAAAATCAGAGTAAGAGAATAGCAGGCTCCTGTTCTGCTCACTGTGCAATCGGAAAGGAAAGCAACTCCTCCAGACAGGAGGGCTCCACTCCTTGGAAATCTCCTGAACTCTGCCACAAAATGCTGCCAGACCTTTGGATGCTTTTCAGAATGACACCAAGCAGATAGTGAATCTCAATACAGAACACTAGGGACTAAAGAAACTTAAAGACTATTCATACACCCAGAGCTGTTTTCCTCAAATGCCTATATTTCCCTTCATCCTCCCTCTTTATCATTCCTCTAGAATCATTAAGAACAATTATTGCAGGTATTTAATAGCACAGTAGGACAATCTTTTCTAAATAGTCTTGAGGCAGCAGCAAGCAAGGAAACATCACTTCTACATTGGCATTCCAGTCCAATAGAAAAGCCTAGTGTTAGGCTTTATGCTGCATCACACCGCACCTTTGTGGAGCTTCCAAGCAGTGGCCAAGGTTGCCTGCTCCTTAAGCACTTCATTTCCACATACCTAATGAGATGTTTTTCAGAAGCAGAAGCTGGCCTTTTGTGAACTTCGATAGGATTTGCAAGTTTGGGAAAGCACTAGATCAGCATTCTAAAATGACCTAAGTTTATAACACTAACAGAAGTATACTATAATACTAACAGAAAGTGTGATATCAATTATTTCTAATTTCAGAGTGCAACTGTCTAGTAGAGAATGTCATGCTGAAATCTAACATTAACCTTTCCATTCATAGTTTGACTTGTTTACAAAGGGGGACAAAAAAAAAATCTGTTTGGCTCTCCAGATGCAATACAGCCCTATTCCATTTATTATTTTTACTGCATTTTTTTTTAATCATAGGAAGATCACCTTTTGTATGTAATTTCCTGATTGTCATCATCAATAAAAATTAGCATTTAGGGCTCTTTGAGACTTAGTTTGGAATCGGTATAAAGGGAACTAAGGAATATGTAATATAAATTGATGATGCTTTTATTATGCATCTCATTATAGAGATGCCATGGGTAAATAACATAATGGTACAACATGGAGACAGCTCATGAAAATGAGAAAATGAAGGACTATGAAAAACACACATTAAGGGAAAAGACCACCAATATAAATGGAATGTGTCCTTAACACACCTGCCATGTATGTAGGTACCATTCTTTCAGTACAGAGTATGCCACATTACAGACTTTCTTAAATCAAGTTCTGCCACAGGAAAAAAAGAAAAAACAAAACAAAACACATACATATAGGAAAATGGCTAAAGTGTGCATACATATATAGTTGGGCTAAATATGCAGCTTTTCAGGACAAGCTTTAGGAATTTTCACACTTTACTTTTCAATATGTAAAACATATGTTGACCAAAAGTTGTCGTGTCAGCTTCTGATGGTATTTTAGTTTTATTGGTCACTACTGTAATTTGAAATTAACAGAAAAAGGCATTAGCAGCAGTAGAAATCAATAAATTGAAGGAGTTTACTGAAGTAAGAAATATGATATGGTTAACCCTGAAACAGAATATTAAGATGTATGATCACAAATCAAATAAGAGTAAATAGAACAAAGCTGCTGACAAAGTAACTACATAAATAAAGATTAAACTGAAGAAATGTCATAAAATGTTTGGGAATTAATGATTTGTGAACTGTTCTGTGAGATTGGATGTTAACTTTTATTTCTTTCTAGTGCTTTAAGAAACACACTTGTAAGCTTTCCTAAGCGTTTCACATGGGTGAAAGCAGTAGGTTTCTTAAAACATGAAACATATCTGAAAGCTCACCAAAATTAAGCATTTAAGAACTGAACAAGCAACTAGATAAAAGAGAGTTCGGGGAGACTGCTTATATACTTATATATACACAAGTATATACCTTGGGTGAATCACTGAAGTAATTTTATTATAAAAAAGTTACAGCAAAATCCCCAATCCAAATCCCAAACAAGTCAGTCAGATAATCCTGATCCGTATTTGCTCAACAATTCTAAAAAAAATTGGTTAACAAAGCCATGTATCTCACGGTCTTCCTGGAGAACTATTATCTTCCTAGTTTGTATGAATTATTCTGCCATATTATTTTCCCTTCAGATACAATCCATAACAACTTCAACTCGCTGGTATGCAGAACAAGCTATCCTTTTTTTTCTTTTTTCTTTTTTTTTAATCGCCTCCATGCTTTCTCTATTTTCTTTACCCCTTCCCTAGATTACCAGAGGCAATGCAAAAACACCTTCAGCAGGAATCTAGAAAAATTTATTTTTCTCTTCAAATACCATTCTCTAGAGCTAGTGCACTTACAGTAACAGAAAAACTGCTTGCATCAGAGTTCTAGGGCACGTGAAGACTTCCTTAACATGCCTAGAGTCACAGCATTTCCAAAACACAGTAGTAAAGACACTGTAAGTAAATGTCACGATAATCCTTAACATTCTAATTTTCTCTTATTCAGTGCATGAAAGCTGCTTCCACAGAAAGCAACATCAGAGTATGGAAAGAAAAATATTTTGTATTAGAGTACATTAGAATGTGTCAAAGCACAGGGGCATTCATGGGAAGGTGTGAATTTCCTACAGTTAATTGGTCTGTATACTTCAGAAAACACACAGACAAAACAACAAAGCAAAACAAAAGAGAATCAAAACATTTTGAATGCACTCCACAGAGGGATTTAAGCACCATTTTGACCATAAATTATTAGTACTATTTTTCTTTCCATAACCAAATGAATTCTTATTTCTTTTTTTTCGCAGTAGAGTTTTTGTAACAGGAAAGGTTAAAAGGATACTCAAAAGGCAGATGCACAAGTTTTAACTCACTCTCCAAGGCAGACATTGCAGAAGGTAGTTCTGGAGATAACTATCAATAGGTTGGATTAAGCAATCGCTGTCCCTGTCCACTTTTTATTTAGAACAATACTTATTTTCTCTCAACACTGTCTCCTTTTCTTACTCTCAAGTGCTGATTAATCCCAAGATCCTTCTTTCAATTCTTCAGTTATACAAGTTCTTCTCTAACCATTTTTCATCTTAATTGATTTACAGAAATGTCAACATTTAAGAAAGCAGCTGATTTCAATTATTAATTCTACTGATTTATCAAAGTTCTGTAATTAAAGAAACCTAGAGTTCCCAAGCAACTCAGTAGGGTTTGCTTTTCTATTTAATCTGAATCAGCTGTCCTCAAGACTACTTTGAACTGACTCTCACTAACCAACTGCTGCTTAGTAGCTCCTTTTTTCCATCACATAGCATTGTCCTCAAAGAACACAATCCTGGCAAGATTTCTACTGCTTCCAGAACCACTAGCATTGAACTGTAAATTAAGCTGTACCTGAAACTAAGGAGCCTACAGTAGATGCCTAGCTAAAGTAACAAGAACAGCTGTCCGAGCAGTAGGGAAGTCTAGAAACTCAGCCTTACTGATATTCAATTTGCTATCACTTCGCTTACTCCTCAGTCCAAAACCATCTGCCTAAATCAACACTATCTCTTTGTTAGTAATTAAACAGCAGCATTCAAACATTTTTTCTACGTGTGCTTCATCAGAAGATTGTTAATCACAAAGAAGTCATACTCACACCTTCCCCTTCCAGATAAGGGGAAATTCCATATATTAATTTATTTACTACTACTTTCTTCCTTGAGAGGGTGGTCAGGCACTGCAATGGGTTGCCCAGGAAGGTGGAGGAGTCACCATCCCTAGAGGTGTTCAACAGACATTTAGATGTTGTATTGAGGGACATGGTTTAGTGGGAAATATTGGTGATAGGTGGACAGTTGGATTGGATGATCTTAGAGGTCTTTTCCAATCTTGCTGATTTTATGGTTCTATTATTCTATAACCTCTTTTATACAATATGTAAGTTACAAATTCAATTCCGTGTTCCAGTGTGTATTAAGT